ACACTGACTCTAACTGGGTTAGGGATTCTACTGATCCAAGATCAACTTCTAGTTATTGTGTTTATTTGGGATCTAACCATATCTCTTGGTCCTCCAAGAACTAATCTACTATTAGTCGCTCATCCAAGGAGGCTGAATATCGATCTCTTGCTTACATTGCAGTTGAGGTTACTTGGTTGCAAATGCTTGGCTCCGTTTGGGAAGAAAAAAGCCAAGCTTTTTTTGGCTAAAATAGCCACAAAAAACAAAATAGGCTATTTTAGCCACAAAAAACAAAACATCAAATCCAACCCATAATCATTACAATTCTCTCTCACAAAAAAAGTCAAAAAAGTCAAAAAGCCAAAAAGCCCTTCCCAAGCCAGGCTAAAATAGCCCAGGCTAAAATAGCCAAAAAATCAAAAAACCAAAAAGCCAACCCACTTCCGAAACGGAGGCTCACTGATTTTTCAGTTCCTTAATCTTTTTCTTTAGTTATTTGGTGTGACAATCAATATGTGCTCTCTCTGGCTACTAATCTTGTCTTTCATAGTCACTCAAATCACATTGAGGTGGATTGCCATTTTGTTTGAGAGAAGGTTGCTGCAAATAGAGTTCAACTCAAAAACATTCCCACATTTGACCAATTGGCTGATTTGTCCACCAAGCCCCTCTCTACTCACAGATTTTTATTTCTTGCTTCCAAGCTAATGGTCTGTCCTCCATCCCTTAGCTTGGGGTTTGGGGTGGGTCCTATCATAGCTTCCTACTGTGACAGCAAATCGCCACCATTTAGATTTGTGGAAGTTTGCCCCTCTCTACAAAATTAAGGGGATCTCTCTCTGTCTTCCTCACAGAGATCGAAGATCATTGGGGCCGATGATTTCACCTCCAAAATCAATAGCCCCTCTCTCTCTCTCTCTCTCTCTCTCTCTGCGTGTGTGTGCTCGCGCAATTGGAAGATTGGATCCACCTTCTTCTTGACCAAAAATAAAAACAAAAGAAAAAATAAATAAAAATTTTGATGGGGTTTGAGGCTGTGATAGCACAATCCTCTTGGAGCATAGAAATCAATAATTTCTCCTGGGAAAAATTAGTGGCAGTGACTATGGATTGCTAAGCACCCATGAGTTGGGCACTGAGAACTCAACCCATTTCTTGGCAGCATCATCTTTCTCCTCCACTACATTGATTTCCTAACGAACTCGGTCCAACTCTCCACCATACTCACATCCCCTGCATCACCTGCCCCATGGATGCCGTCACTGCGTCCTCCATGGCCACTCTATCATCCTCATCTTCTTCTTCTTCTTCTTCTTCTTCGTCGTGCTGGTGGCGGACTGAGGCCGATCAGGAATGGCGGTAAGGATAAAAAGAACCTCAATCCTGAAACCATGGTGATGATGATGATGATGATGATGATGGTAAGCAATTTGATCAAGTTTTCAAGCTACCATTTCCATGTCCAATGACCAAAACAGTGACCAAATCAATGCTTTCACTTAATTTTTTTTATGTTTTTATTTTTTATACAAATCAAAATGGTGGCATTTTCCTATCACAACAGGATGCTATGACAGCACCCACCCTAAATTCCTTAACTTGAGGGGGAATGATAAGAAAGATATTCTACCGGCTACAAAGAAGAGAATTAGTGTAGCATAACAACATACTCCTGAGATGTACTATAGTAATTCCCTTGTAAGAAGATTCTATTAGTTAGTTAGATGAGTGGTTAGGTTGTTAGGATGTCAGGTTATGGTTAGTGAAACTTGTGTAAATAATACATATATATATATATATATATATATATATGTTGGTTGTGTAAATAATATTCATTGAATAGATTCATTCTCTCATTTTCATCAAAAAGCATATAGCTAATTATGATTACAATCAAGAATATTCCATCTTGAGAAAAAAAATCCCTTGTTGAAATTCTCTCAAATACTGCTTGCCAACATTGAGTCTTTGGATTGAGTATTTGGAGGCACAATGTTTCTCCACAGCAAACTTACAAAACAAAATTCAACACTTTACCTTCTTTTATTAAATTGCATAACACAAATGCTATCATCCCAGAAAAATCATCCTTGGTAATTGATTTGTATGGTTGACATTGAATTGAAGGAGTGTGAGTATAAGTATTAATTAAATATAAGTCATAAATTAATATTCGGGATAAAATTTTTAAGTTTATAATTGTGGTGGCCAAAAAAATACTACCTTATTAACAATGGGCCCAGCCCAAACAAGGGAGTCCATCAAGTAAATATCACACCCCCATCTATAAAAGGAGGGTATCCCATGGAATGAAGGTATGCCTCATCTCTCTGCCAGATAACACACAAACACTCTTCATTTTCTTCATATTCCTTCTCTAATACCAGGGGCTAACTTTATCATCGGAGTTTCTTCGGCTAGCAACCTTGATTTGGTGGTGTCGACTATGTTCATCTTTGCAGATCTATTGGGGCAAAGCTCATCTCTTCGTTGGATCTTGTGGAGAAGTGGTTTTGGAAATACTCTTTAGATCCTGGGAGACGCTAGTGATCCTCAGCTAGTGACCTGAAAAGACACAAACACTCTGGTTGGGGGTGCTGGAATTAGCACTCCGACGGACAACTTAGTTCAGACACTCAGAACAGCTTGTTTCCCAAATTTAGTGAAATGATTCTTACATACCCTTCTAAATCTATAGTTCTTGTATTTATACTTGTTTTTTGGGCCTCGGGGCCTGAGCCTACTTTTATCCCATTCCCCTTTTATTCATTCGGAGCCACTGACCTCCGTCTATTCGGCTTTCCTAACGTATTCGGCGTCCTAGTCATGCAATTTGAAGTCGGATAGTATCTAATTTCTGGAGTACGCATCTTCTGACTCTTCTACTTATTCGGCTAATTGCCCCCCAAGCACTTCACCGACGACAGTTGGCCTCATCCTCATGCGGATATCTAAGCGCACCCCTTTCAGTTGTCGTGTCGACTTCCCGCCCCCTTCGTACGTGTCTATTTATTGCGATTTAAAATTTCGACGTCCTTTCAAGTATGTATTTTATGATGCTCATCGCTGGATTGCCTTTTGGATCGTCCCTGAAACTTTCTTCTCCGATATCCTCTTCGTCCTTTGTAAGTTCTCTCCTCCCTTGCTTTGAGGACTCTTTCTGGTTTATTCCTTCCTTGGCATATTCTCATAGACTGTAGGGTATAGCGAAACATTTAAAAGACCTCCTCTCGTCATATTGTATTGCTGGCTTTAAACGCCATTTCTCCATTCCTAATGATGTCCGTCTGTCGCTTGTGGCAGACGGCACTCTTGATATGGAGAGGGAGGATGAAACCACGATTGTCTTTCCTCTTTTGTCAATTGCAGAGGGTGGAGTCCGTTTCCCCCTTCACCCGTTTCTTAGGGCTGTGCTTCACCATTGGGGTTTAATCGCTTCCCAACCTAATGTGAATTTCTTTAGAATCATAATGGGGGTTATAGCGCTCAACCGTCGCCCAAGAATTAACCTTGGCATTCCAGCCATCCGGCATTGTTATGCCTTGGCTAAGTCTTCTGGTCGGCACGGGCGTTTCTTCCTTAGGGCCAAGGATATCGACCATCAGTTGATTACTATCACTACAACAAGTTGGGTCTTGAATGACGATTTTTTTTTTGTCTCCAAAGAGCTAATTTCGTCACTATAGATATTTGTGAGGAAATATTTTCGTCACCGGTTTCGTCATTGAATGTTTGTCACTAAAAACCACTATGACGAAAAATAATTTCGTCACCAATGAAATTACTTCAGTGAAGAAGTTTTTTGTCACCAATAAAACAATATTTTGTCGCTAAAAATTCTCATTTTCGTCACCAAATAGTTATTCAGTACCATATTTATAACTTTCGTTGACGAATAAATTTGTCACACATGTGGATTATTGATGAGGAAATAATTTCGTCATAGTAAGATGTAATATTTCGTCACAAATATATATATACGTGACGTAATTTTTAGTCACCAAACAACAAAATCAATGAAAACTTTCATATATAGGCTGCAATAAATTTTGTCACAAAAATTGTTTATTAGCGACAAATAATCACTTTGTCATAATAACAAGTACAAATGACGAAACAAATTCGTTACTAAACTTGTTCCATATTTTATAATTTAATTTAAATTATTATTTCACAAATATCTCTGCTCATATCTCAATAGTTTTCAAATATACTAACAAATCCACTGGCTATTATACACCACTCCACAAGACAATTCAATAACCAATATATATTATAAATCAAAATATATCCATCAAACAAATTTAATAATAATTCATTAAGTATAACAAAAACACTATCACAGCTAATCTCGAAATGAACTAAGTATCAATCGACAAAAAAAATAACATTTGATCTTGATTTACGAGTAGAACTAAGTATTAGTCCACAAAAAATATCAACACTTGATCTTGATTTGCAAGTATGCTTCCAAATGTCATCAAAAATCAATCTGCAAAGAAAATAAAAAAGGAAAACATTAATATATTATCAATTACAACTAAACTAATATATAAATAATTTTATTTTATAAACCAATTTAGTAGAAATGCATATAATAATCCAAAACTTTAAAGAGTTGAGGTGATCCTTGATGATAAAGCAATACGGATAACAGAAGATGTCAAAAGATTACAAGAATACCATATATTACTATCACTAATGCCATAATATATTTAATAGTTCAAAAATATAATGTAGCATTGAGATACATTTGATTCGCGACAATGGGTCGATGACTTCTTCAATGAGGTAAATTTGATCAATGGAATTAAACACAAGAACCTTGTAAGATTTTTGGGTTGTACCATTGAAGGTCCAGACCGCCTTCTTGTTTATGAATTTGTACCTAACAAACAAAATGCAAGTTATTTGTTAATCTCTAAATCACGTAAGCTCTAGCTAAGCTTCATGTTTCCATTTTATTATTCTCTAAACTCAGGAAGTACAACTATATGTATAACTACACCAAACATATAGAGAGATAGAGAAAATGATAAAAACATACCTGAAAATAGTTCTCTGGAAAAACCCAAATGGTCTTTGTCACTTGCCATTGCAACCACAAGAACCAATTTTGCCTTCGAAAATGCCATCTGAATTGTATCAGCCAAAGCTTTGGCAAATTCCTTGGTATGTGCTGGAAAACATAAATCATATAAGCTATAGCCCTTAAATTTCGTTTATAAAAGATTGAGGTTGTGTTTGGATCTTTGATATTAGCCTCTAACCAACCCTTACAAATTTCGTTTATAAAAGATTGAGACCGTGTTTTTGGATCTTTGATTTGAGGAGGGATTTGTGAAGGGAAAAAAAAAAGGCAGGGAAAAGTGGAAAAAAAATAATCTTATATTCCTTTTTCTTTTTGTTCTATAAATTCCTCTACAAATCCAAGATCCAAACATATCCTGAAAGACAAAAAAAATTTATATGGGCGCATCCCCTTGATGCTCGTTCATACCATTATTTTACTTGACAAAAAAGAGAGTCAAAAAAGAATGCAACTTGACAAATTTTTCATGAGTAGCATGCACAGTACACAAAATTTAGGTACACCACATAGACATCTCCATAAGGGGAAATCAAACCAGATCTAAACAATACATAGAAGAAAAAAAAAATGAAAATGAAGGTGTAGACACCCCATTTTTGACCGTCCTCAAGACTTGGACGTCACCGTTTGAACACTCGGTGATCATCCATGTTTGTGTTCGTCTTGAGTTCCCAGAGGCCTCGGCTCGCGCGCCCTGCCCCACACTATATAGACATCTCCATAAGGGGAATCAAACCAAATCTAAACAATACATAGAAGAAAAAAATAAAAATGAAAGCTAAGTTTCCAATCAATAGATGTGTATGCTTTTAGTGACAAGCACAAGATGTAGGTTCAGCTTATAATAAAGGCCCTAACAAGAAGGAAAACATCTGAATCAAACCTCCATCAATTAATATAGTTGCTCCAAACAGTCCTAGTGTCTCGGCTTCCTTTGATGTTAAAAACTGACTTCTCCTAAGCAAATATGTTTGCTCTAAACCAGAGCAAATGGATACATCTGAAATTGTCCAACCTGAAATTCCCAATAAATCATCCAAAAGGTTAATTAAACTCAACAATGTTTTATTCCAAGTCAATTGAGGTTGGCTACAAGAAATGTTTTTTGCCATTTTCCATATCGTACTGATACCATGCGAAGGTAAAGTCATTCTCAAGAAGTGAAACCAGATTCAAGACATGGGCAACAAAGTCATCAAAACAGTAGTAACTTGGATGAGTGCATGAGTTATAACTTATAGGTAGGCAATAAGTGCATGGCACAAAGTGAAATAATTAGACAAACAAATATGCTTAGTAACAAATAGGCAGGTCGACAAGTGTAGCTTACAAGAAATATTACAACTTGAAATTATTGAAGAATGTGATATGATTCGCGTTGCATGGACATGGACACAAATCACATATTTGACACAAGTTGGATATAGCAAAATTTTGTGGTAATATATATAGCAGTTTTACAAGTTGGATGCAACAAAATTTTGTGGTAGTATGTATAGCAGTTTTGTTCTAATGTTCTGGGGAAAATGGAAATAGAAACATAAGGTCCGCGCCTTGATCACAAAGGCAGAGAGACGTACAAGTGGCAGTTGCAGCATTTTGGAGTTGGTGAGATCCAAGCATTGAGAGTTTTACATCAAACAACTCAATGACCTGCATAATTTGATATAAAGTTCATAGTTCATATAACAACCAAATATGTCAATGAACATTAGACATATATGAAAGCAAAGCATTAAACTACTTCATGAAGTCCAAGAAATTGTGTACCTGTTGAAAGTCTTCAATTTGAATCACTATATCACAAGATTAGTAATGTTTGCCATATAAATTGCTCAAGCCCTTTATTGCATTTCTATTTCCAAGATCACATGCAGATACTACAGTCGCAAACATAGAACATGCTTTATCACGAAGAATATGCACAATATGTGGAAGAAATGGCCCACCTAGCACCACCTGAAAAGATTAACCAATAAGAAGAGCCAAGTTGAGCCAAGTTTGAGCACTAAGCAACAAAAAATGGGAATATGAGTCCAGTACAGACATAAGATGAAGGCCAGCTGAAAAGTGTCTGCTTCAGGCATTGGTTTCCTGATGAGAATCACAGTTCCAGCATGAATAGGAAGGAACAACCCCGTGACATTAGTCTTGAACTCTTCATACTCAACGCGAACCTCATTCGTGCAATGCTTTTGCTCCACCAAAATGCAATTAAAATAATAATAATAATAATGAAAAAAAATTCTATATTTCCTAAAATCCAAGCACCCAATGGTGAATAATAATCGTAAAGGATTTATACTCTAAAACAAGGACACTTTCTTATCTTTTTTTCTTTCTTTCTTTCTTCATCTATTTGTGTGTGTGTGTGTGTGTGTGTGAGAGAGAGAGAGAGAGAGAGACAAGTCTAAAAGAAGGAAGTCAAGTATGAGATAATACTACTTTTAGAAACCTGTTTACATTTATTCTAATGTGGCTGGATGTCATACAAGAATATAAACTTCACAAACTAAAAACGTTAGCATACCACATTTGTTTGTCGAAATTGAGACAGCAAACAAGGTATTTCTTGGTAAGCAGTAAAACTAACTTCAACCTTATTAAATGTATTGGTATTTTTGCGATAACTTTTTATCCTAATATCTGGCATTGGAAAGAAGATTCAAAGTTTTACAAGTTCATATTTCACGAAGATTTCATGAGCCTATTGATTTTTATTCCTAAAATGGACTATAAGTGGATTGAGTGCAAAAAAAGCGAGGTTGGGCAGATTGGTCTTGTCTCTCACAAAAGGAGTTTATACAAGGGAAGCAGAAAGCTTAAAAATGAAATTATGGCATGACCAAATCAAGAAAGAAATTGTGATCACATGACATTAACGGGGTGAAATAAGCAATTGGAATGCCGGTGGTTTAAATTTCTAAACATGTTGCACTACCAAAAAAATCTAACAACTAATCATCAAAAAATATGCAATAAAAATGATAATCCCTACAATCTAATCACCTATGAAAAAATGATCATCAGAAAAATATACCAAACAAGAAAAAAGCATCACCACTTTACAGAATCTTTCAAAGTAAGGGAAATATTTCACTGAGCAGAATAAATAAGTAATATATACCGAGGAACTGCATACATACCTCCACCACCACTCATGGTCTTCAGCAGTAAGTTGAAAATATGTCAAAGCCACGGTGATGAAAGCAGTAACAATTAGGAGAATGATAAGGACTATAAACAAGATGTTGTATATAGTGTAAATCCTGTGACCCCAAACATTCACAAATATGTAGTAGACACTGAAAGGTAAAAACACAGCCATTGCCATATGAGGAAGTGCTCCACGATACCAAGGCAATGGTGGGATCTCTCTAGGATATTTTGTGGTGCAAACAGGAGCTTGAAACTCAGTTTTGCTATTCTTTCCTGCGATACCACCCAATACTAGCAAAGGTGATGTGACAAGAGTCCATATGAAAACTATCACCACAATGGTACCAAATGGAAGTGCTACTGTGGCAATATTAACAATTGCAACAGTGTTGATGAGGCAGAATGTGAAAAGCAGAGGTCAACAAAACAGGATTCTAGTCAATAACAAATTTTTGCGAAATTGCAACAGTGTTGATGAGGCAGAATGTGAAAAGCAGAGGTCAACAAAACAGGATTCTAGTCAATAACAAATTTTTGCGAAGTCAGGGATTGAAAATTAGATCAGCATTTGATATGCAAAAAGTGGAACAAGGGAAAATCAAAAAATAGCAGAAATCCCAATTGTCTACATCTCTCTGATCATCATGATGTACTGCCATCATGCACCCACATAGATTGGGCGAAGAATATATTACTGTTGTCCCATTTCAAAACAACTTCCAAAAGAAAAAAGAGAATTGAATTTTGATCATTTCCGACAATTTGAGTTTATTATTAGCAAAACAGAATACGCGTGTGATGAATTTCATATTATTCACTCCAACATGAAGTAGCCAAACCTCATTTTTAAAAATCAGTAGGAATGGCTACTCTACTTTCATCGTCCCAAGTAATGTTTAAAAGAAATCTAAAAAAAAAAAAAAAAAATTAAAATTACATCTTTCTTAACTAGACAAAATATCAAAAAACAATTATCTATGTTATGCAAACTATAATGCAAAAGTAGATTTCCCTACTAACCATTTTTTTTTTATAAGCTTTGCCATGGTACCAACTGAAGTTGTACAAAAGTGTTTTATAATAAAATTTTCATTAAATTTTCATTGTTCAAGATATCAAACTCTCTCCCTCTATTTCTCTCTTAGATACACCATTACAAAAATCCAAACTCTTTGCAGGTGTGTGTGAAAGAGAAAAACATCAACCACTTGATTGGTCAAAGAACACAATGTAAGCACATACTTTATAAGAATACAATATTTTCAAATGGCAGAACAGAAGGGAGCACTTTTATTTCATGAAAGCCCTAGTTCTCTAATTCTTTAATTCCAAACAAAACAGGTTCTATATATTCAAATGATAGAGAACAATTTTTTTTCCTATTCTCTATATTCAAATAGAATCCTTAAGAACCAACAAACTTTAAAGCCAATATATTATAAAGGTACTAAAACAAGAAACAACTACAAGAAATGAGGCTATACAAAGTCTCCAAAACTTGGAGACAGGAACTCACGAGTCTTGGCAATAAATCTACACAAAATCATAATAAAAAGTAGAAGTAGAATCCAAGGCCACATACCCAATTTATTCCTTCCAGCTGGCAATAGAAAGAGACTGCAGTATAGCTTGCAATCCCAAACGTAAGAGCCTTTCAAACCTTCAAGCACACAGCGCCGACAAAGTTGAAATCGATAAACCAATCAGAGATGCAACCAAACGTAGTTTTTAGATCGTTACAGTGAGAAGCTTCGAGGAGGCACTGCGAAACCTCCGCTTCTCACAAGAATTTCAGATCGTTGCAATCGATCGGTTGAGAGAGATTAGGACCAAAAATTTAGATAATTTCAGATCCTTAAAATTGATCGATTGAGAGAGATTAGGGTTTAGAGAGAGAGAGAGAGAGAGAGTGAGTGAGTGAGTCAATCGATTTCCCTCAGATTCAAATAAGGATGCTTCACAATAAGAATGTGGTAATATTATAAAAATAAAATTTGTTAGGTGCAATTAAAATATTAATTTAATTTTTTTAATCACATTTTCATTAATAGTTTCATGTTTTAATTTCTTTAAGTGTGATTTTTAAGCATTTTTGTACTAGTGGATAAAGGAAAAATTGAAACACAAAAAAGTGGGGGAAATTAGTAGGGTTCTTTTTTCATTGCGGCAAAATCTCAAAATTTTTCCTTCAAAATTGGTGATAAAATAATTTTGTCACTAAAAATTTTAAAATATTAAAATTATTGACGATAAAAATATATTTCTCATCAAATAGTTTTAAAATATTTAAAATTAATTTTTTCAAAAAAAATATTTAAAATTATTAGTGACGAAAATATATTCCTCCCTAATAATTTTATAATTGGTGACAAAAAAAATTTTCTCACTAAAAGTCTTAAAATTTTAGCATCACCCAAAAAAATTAGAAGGAAAACCTTTGGTGACGAAATTTAATTTTTTTCTTACCTAAAAAGAAGTATTTATTGACGAAAATAAATTTCGTCACCTATTATTTTTACTTTTTTTATTATATGTGACAAAATTTTATAATTCGTTACGGATTATTCTTATTTAGTGACAAAATTTATTTTCTTCACTGCTTTTTGTCACCATAGGTTACTTAGAGGGTTAATTAACTTTTGTTTTGTTTTGAGAGAGAGAGAGAGAGAGAGGAGAGGAAAATTGATAAACAAAAATAAAAGGGGAAAAAGTTAGTAGTCTACTTTTTTCCATTACTACCCAATATGTCAAAAATTTTCTTTCAAAATTAGTGACAAAATAATCTCCTCACTAAAAAGTCACAATATAGCAACCTCGGTCTTTTCTCTTTAAATTATTGTATCCGGACTTTTGGTGACGAAAATATATTCCTCACTAATAATTTTATAATTGGTGACAAATTTTTTTCTCACCAAAAGTCTCAAAATTTTGGCGCCACAAAAAAAAAATAGTGGAAAAACCTTCGGTGACAAAACTTAATTTTTCCTCACCTAAAAAGAAAAATTTGTTGACAAAAATAAATTTCGTCACCTATTATTTTTATTTTTTTATTATATGTGACAAAATTTTATAATTCGTCACAAATTATTCTTATTTAGTGACGAAATTTATTTTCTTCACTACTTTTCGTCACCATAGATTACTTTTGTTGTATGCTTTCCAGTTCTGGAAAACGAGTTGATGATGTTATGGTCGTTGTCCAGGGTAACTGGGAATTTGGCGAAGGGGAGGATCACGTCGACCCTATTCCTAGACGGAGGGGCGAGCCAGGTGGCTGATTGATTTCTCGCTTTTATTATTTGTTCGTTTTTGTTGTAAAGCCTCTTCTTTGAAATGTTACGGCTTGGTTTGTGTAGGGAGAAATTTGAAGAAAGTCCTATCTTCAACTGACGGCGCTGTTCTTTCGGATATCGAAGTCGCGCTCAAATATTTTGACTGTCGAAGTCTTCAGAAACAAGGCAGGGCGGCCCACATTCTGCTTTGTTACGAGCCGACATATACGACCTTCTCAACAGTGAAAAATATCTAGGTTCCGAAGGGTGAAGACTCTCTCATCGCTCTTATTTTGTCTGACTTCAAAAACTTGAGGCAGGTTGGTTTTGAAGGGTCGGATTCGGAGCGGGGTGTAGCTAATGTTACCGAATCAGATCAGTTCGAAATCGAGTCTGACGCGGTATTGAATTCGGTCGATCCCCCATCCACATCGGGCCGAGGGGATCTTTCGCTTGACGGCATTTTTCACGGCTTAGACGATATTCCCGCCGCAAACCCCGAAAACATGACCGGGTTAAAGCTGACAAAATTTGCCAAGAAGGCGAATGCAGAAAGGTTGGTTGCGCGGCGAAGAGCGGAGGCCCTTCCGTCTGAAGTACCACTAGCCACCGAATCTTAATTCTCCCTGCCTGTTAGCGAATCAGAGTCCTTGCGCGTTATTGAGGTGGAGACGGCGGAAAATCGGAATGTCGAATCTACTTTGATCATGCAGGCCGGCCAAGAAGTTGAGGTAGAGAAACGACCTGCCGAGTTTGAAGCGGGCATAGAAGAACATGGTGGCAAACGTCCTCGATTGGAGGGATCGGACGTGATCGTTCCTTTTGTCATTCAGCCGATGATAAAAAAGATGCCGGTTTCTTCTGATGCTTCGGTGCTTAAAGAT